TTTTATTAATTAATTAATTTATTTATTTATTTATTAAACATTATTGTAAGATATTAAGAGCAGAATAATCTTAATTTTTATTAAAAATAAGTTATGAAACAGGAAGTGGGGTGCTGCTAATTAATTTTTATTAAAAATGAATTATGAAACAGGAAGTGAGGTGCTGCTAATTAATTTTTATTAAAAATGAATTATGAAACAGGAAGTGAGGTGCTGCTAATTAATTTTTATTAAAAAGGAATTATGAAACAGGAAGTGGGGTGCTGCTAATTAATTTTTATTAAAATGAATTATGAAACAGGAAGTGAGGTGCTGCTAATTAATTTTTATTAAAAATGAATTATGAAACAGGAAGTGAGGTCCTGCTAATTAATTTTATTTATTTATTTAATAATTTTTTGTTGGTCTATTCTTTAATTATATTTTTTAAATTTATTATCTATTATTAAGATTTTTTATTTTAAAGTTAATTTTATTATATTTTTTAAATTTTGTTTTATTTATTTTTTATTCTTAATTTTTTATTTTTTATTTTATATATATTTTTATTATTTTTTATTTAATTTTTTATTTTTTCATTTTATTATTTTAGTTTATTTATTACTCTATTTTTTTCATAATCATAGGGTGATCCTGGTCCTATAGGTCCTCTTGGTCCTAAAGGAAGATATGGAGCTGAAGTGAGCATTGTTTGTTGTTGTTGTTTATTGTTGTGTGTTGTTGTTTATTGTTGTATCTTGTTGTTTTAGGGTGCTAAAGGTGATCCTGGTATAAAAGGAGAGATTGGTCATACTGGTATTATTGGAAGAATAGGAGAGAGAGGAGAGGAGGGGCCAAGAGGAGAGAAAGGAAATAAAGTGAGAAATTAATGTTACTAGAACGTACATGTACCTTAAATGTAGAAAAGATCTTTAAGACACTAAATTCAGGTTTTTCCCCAGGTTTTGGCTTAGTGCTCGTTCAGCTTTTTGTCAGTGGATTATCAAGTGGCTCAAAAATTAGGCCAAAGACCCTGTACTATAGTATGGGGTATTTTCATAAAATTCACAAATAGAGAATTTTTCAGTTTTATAATATTTTCTGATACATATACATCTACAAATGTTATGTTGGAAGTTTGAGCTGATTCCGATGGAAATTAGATTTTTTACGAATTTTTAAAGTTGCTCCAAAATCGGGCTGAAGCCCCTGTACACGGTCTTCAGCCAAATTTTGCCAAAAATGAAAAGGAGAGAATTTTCCATTTATACATATATTTCTGATACATATACATGTACATATGTTGTGTAGAAAGTTTGAGCTGACTCCGATCAAATTTGGATTTTTTATTAAATTTTAAAGTTTCTTCAAATTATACATGTAGTACAATGTGGAAAATTGTGGAAAACCCTAACTAAACTAGAGTTACACTTTACTAAAAACAATAACCCAATATGTTGTACATGTACATGTACATTAAAAATGCTAAAATTCAAGTTTCTAAAATACACGTAGACTTTAAGTGTCATTGTTTGTGTAGGGATATAAAGGCAATAAAGGTATTAAAGGACCTCCTGGACCACCTGGTCCCAAAGTATGTATGTGTACATGTAGATACATTAATAATATGTCACCTTGTGTAGGGCAAAGCTGGTCGTATTGGAAATGATGGACCCTCTGGTCCACCTGGAGATTATGTATACATATTTATTTATTTATTTATTTTTATTGTATCTATTTTACAGGGTTTAGCTGGAATAAAAGGATCTCCTGGTCATTCTGGCGATAAGGGACTCCCAGTAATTAATAATGTATCCTTAATTATTTATTATATTCATATTTATAGGGCCCTACTGGACCAATGGTACATGTTCATATCATGATAATACTAGTATTTATTTTTGTTAGGGTCCTAAAGGGCCTCCTGGTGAACAGGGGGAAAGAGTAAGTCATTTACACAGTCACTCTCTTTTATATTAATGTACATATTGCAGTCCTATAATTAATACAAAATTAAAATTATAGCTAAGATATTACTCACATATTTAAGCATGCTATTTATAAAAAGGTCTCTTAATTCATTTTTTTCTTACATGTATGACTATTAACTCTGCTTTTCCTCTCTTCATATTGTTATCAATTGATTAGGGTGACAAAGGACAGAAAGGTAGTAGGCCCTCTACTAGTGGTACATCATTCTATAGTTCTGATAGTAGCCTTGATGATCAGTCTTTAATACCGTCTCTCTCTAGCATTTTAAATAATGTAATCATTGATAATTGTTACCGATTGATTATAGTAATAATGTATTAATAACTTATAGTTGTACGATGTGGTTAAAAGACCTGATACTTTATGTGTTCCTGTTCGGATTATTAACAGTATGGGAAGGAGTCAAACCCAACCTGCCCAGTCTTGTCAAGCAATAAATGATCTATTAAATAATCAATCAAATGGTATGAAATTTTTAGGCTTCTCATTTTTATTTTAATGTATGTATTTTTCAGGTTGGTATTGGATTGATCCTAATTTAGGATGTTCTCAAGATTCTGTTTATATTTATTGTAATTTCACATCAAAAGAAACATGTATAGACATTGTACCATATCCCTTGGTAATTGACAACAACAACTGATATTAATTCTATTTTCTGTATAGGAACTAGGTAACCTAACTGAAGCCTATCTGATGAATCTTTTGCCTAATAATATACAAGTACTTTATTTATTTTATTCATACATTATTATTGCATTATTTATAGACATCATTATTAGTCCAGTTGAATGTCCTAAGGCTTTACAGTCATAGAATAAGGCAATCAGTCAAGATAGGGATATCTAGAGATTATCATGCACAGTATAGCAATGAGCTTAATATCACATGGATTGATTCTGATCGAAATCAAGTAATACTGAATCAAGATCAGCTCTCATCAACAGTGCTACAAAATGAGGTATGAAAATGAGTTTCTTTGCTACAAATATTAATTTTTTACTAAAATATTGCAGGGAGGAAAGGGCGAGGTTCATTATTCAATTCAAGCAGACAGCTCTCATTCCATATACAATTCACTGCCACTGCTTGATGCTAGACTGACATGCAGTGGTGGTGGGTGTACTACTGTTCAGTTAGGACCTGTGTGTTTTAAATATCAGAGTAATAGCGATGTTACATGAAGGAACATGATCCTTCTCTCTAGTTATTTTGATTCACAGCATACATTTTTTTAACAAGAACTCTATGTCAGTGTACAAAATAATAGAAAATAGTGTCTGTACTAATAATTATTACTAAAAAGCGTTAATAGCTGTTACATGTTTGTTGCTTCACTGGTCACAACATCGCTCAGCTTTTTGAAATCCACTTCCCATGTTCCTTTGGCTGTTTTTTCCCTGTTGGTCATCGGTATAAACTTTCGCCCAAATAATATTTCTCTCTCAGTGTAGGACCATAGAGCTTGTGCAGTTAGGCCAGTACTCTCCACAATGGCTTCCAGTATAATGACAATCTCAATGTCTTCATTTAATATGCTATCATTAGTTACTGTATAAAGAGGGCTTGTCTCCTTTATAATGTGTGTTATTACCACTGGGGTCAATAATATAATGCGATCAGTACCGCTATCATAGCCAACTTCCAAGTCATTTTGTTCCAACCTGTATTCATCAGTAGCACCATCTTTTTTATGCCAGTACAGTTGTACGCGTACATGTGCCTCTACTAGGGATGAATTCTTTCTGACATCAGCTACACGGAATTGAAGGCACCTCTCCCCTTTAGCATTAACATTAATGCAAGCAATGTCACTGAAGAGGATCGTCTTGCGTCTGTTTCTGGGTCTGGAGATTTTAGCAAATATCAGACCCAGTAGGAACGAATCGATAAAGAGTCCTATAAGACTTTGCACCACAAGTAGAAATATGCCAAAGTGACAGGTGCTCTGTATGTATCGGTGCCCATAGCCAATGGTTACTTGTGTCTCTAATGAGAAGAGAAACGATGAAGAGAATCCTCCAACATTTTCAATGCAAGAATTGTTGGTAACAGATACATAGGCTGCATCAAACGACCACCACATGAAAGTAAACAGGAGCCACGATGAGAGATACACAGCTGAGAATAACCCAATTATAATGTACCACTCTGCATTTATCAGTGTAGTAAAGCCGTCACTAACGTATGCTAACCAGCTAAGTGGTGGGATATTCTTGTGGTGCAAGATGGAGCGAGCAGTAGACCTTTTCACTAGTCTCTCTGGCCTAAGCCTTGTTGGTACAGTAGGCTGAAAGCTCACTATTGTTGGAGCAGCATCTGTAGCTTCTTCTCGAACTGTTCCTTCGGTTTCAGACATTTTTTCATAGCTATTAGAGAACTGGACAGACATTGTACTGGCTGATCCTGATCGATGAGCTGCACTTGTTGTTGTCCCGTTGCTATGGAGCCTATGAAATTTGATCAGCCACGCCTACATAATGAGCCACACCTTTTAGCTCATGATGCACTTTGCAGCCAAAATATGCTGCCAAGTCTATGACAGTGAGTACTATATCTAATCAGTTCCTGCATGTACCAGAATTAATATTAACAGATCTAGTTTGAAAATAAAATTGAAAATAAGTCTTTTCACTTGAACAGTAAACAGCACAAAAATAACAAAAATTTGTAATAATAATGAAAAATAATTTTATTACATTTACTAGCAAGGGCAAGGCTCTATGGAGCTAAGTCTATTAAAATCCACTTCCCAAGTACCTTTGGCATCACTCTGTCTGTATATCATAGGTTTAAATTTGTAATTGAACAATATTTCTCTCTCAGTGTAAGACCATAGAGCTTGTGCAGTTAGGCCAGTACTCTCCACAATGGCTTCCAGTATAATGACAATCTCAATGTCTTCATTTAATATGCTATCATTAGTTACTGTATAAAGAGGGCTTGTCTCCTTTATAATGTGTGTTATTACCACTGGGGTTAATAATATAATGCGATCAGTTCCACTATCATAGCCAACTTCCAAGTCATTCTGTTCCAACCTGTATTCATCAGTCTCCCCATCTTTTCTATTCCAGTATAGTTGTACACGTACGTGTGCCTCTACTAGCGATGATCTGCTCCTAACATCACCAATGCGAAACTGAAGCCTCTTCTCTCCTTTATTGTTAACATTGATGCAAGCAGTGTCACTAAAGAGGATCGTCTTACGCCTGTTCCTGGGTCTGGTGATTTTAGCAAATATCAGACCCAGTAGGAATGAGTCTATAATGAGCCCAACCAAACACTGAATGACGAGGCATAGTATACCAAAGGAGCAGTCGTCTGCGACAAAACGATACCCGTATCCAATCGTTACCTGAGTCTCTATTGAGAACAGGAAAGATGCGGAGAATCCGTCAATATTAGAAACGCAAGATGAGTTGGTTACGGCCACGTAAGCTGAATCAATCCCCCACCATATGAACCCAAAGAGCAGCCATGATAATACGTACATAGCTGCAAACAGCAGTATTATAACGATCCACCTTGCATTAAGTACTGTAGTGAAGCCGTCACTAATGTACCCCAGCAAGCTCAGCGGTGGTATGTTGTGATGGTGCACCAATGAGCGGCCATTGGACCTCTTTACTAACCTCTCGCGTCTTCTCGCTTCACGAGTTCCTCTGAATGTTATGGGAATGTCTTCACGATGGATATTCTCATTAGAATTCGATACTAATTCATAGTTTACGTTTTTATGTGATGGCTCCATGCTAAAGAGGAGGACAAGGGGCGAAGAAGAAACGACCTCAGCAGCTTGTACACCTTGTAACTTTTAATGTTAATTAACATGTGCATACCACAAGCCACTCCTTCTAACCAGCCCCACCCCTACTTTTTTTGCAGATCCACCCACGTGGTTTAGTAATTCACAGGGTTAAATTGTAGGGGTTTCCTCTTATTGTGCTAAGAGTAGACCATCATAATGCGCTCTGGCTCTCTTATTATTAACAAAAAGGCCAGCGAGAGGAGACAATGTCCTACATGCTCTTAGCTATCCTCTCCCTCCTCCTCCTCTTAAGAGGAACATACAACCAGAGAACAGTACAAGATGATATGAAGCAGTCTAGCCTCCAGCAAGAAAGCCGTCCATTAGTCTACCTTGCTATCCTCTCTAGAAATGCAGCCCATCTCTTACCACAGTACCTGGGATATATAGAGGGACTTAACTATCCAAAAGATAAAATTATAATTGGGTGAGGTAGCACTATAGTACACTGTAGCTCTACTAAAGTTAAACCATCTGGTTAAACTAGATGCAATTATGTTTTGTACATAATGTATTCAGTGATTCATTATTAATTTACTCTTATTGACACTTACATTATAATGCAGACCTTCTTCCCTGCATAATTGATTATTGTTTATTTGTTTTATTGTTATTATTGTTATAATAGTTTATATATTGGTCAGAGTGTGGACAATACGACAAACCTGCTACTCGAATGGTCTGAGAATGTCCGATCAATCTACAATAATGTGCTAATATATGAAGATGGAGACATATTCCCATTGGGAGACAGTGAGCTCTTCTCCTGGTCTGACTCAAGGCTGGAGTACATGTGTAAACTCCGACAGGATGTACTGAGCAATGCTAGAATGGCTAGAGCTGAATATCTATTTGTAAGCATTTGATTCTTCATTTTATTATTTTATTTTCTTTAGTTTGTTGATTGCGATAATTTTCTTATAAACCCAGATGTCCTAATAAGACTAATTGAAGCAAAAAAGTAAATGAATATTTTTCTTATTATTCTATTTTTATATTTTGATAAAGGCCTATAGTAGCACCACTTTTGATCTACGATAAAGAAAGAGCATTTAGTAATTTTTGGGGAGGACAGAAAGAAAATGTAAGCAATGATAACTCCTTCTCCATTGAGTAGAACTATATTTTGTGTACAGTAGAACTTTATATGTCCAATAATTAAAGTCATAATTATTACTCTCTCCCTATCTCTCAGGGTTATTATCTCAGAACAGAAGAGTACCTGCCAATAGTAACACGCTCCAATCTTGGCTGTTTCAAAGTTCCTTTAGTCCATTCAACACTTCTAATTGATTTAAGAACAGTATCCTCAGAATCACTTGCCTACTGGCCACCTCCTACTGAGTATAAATGGAACATTGACGACATCATTTTATTATCTTACTCTGCAAGAGTTAATGGTATATTTATAAGTATTAGTTGTTGTTGTTATTATTATTAGGTATTGGTATGTATATATTGAATACTGATGTGTTTGGTTATCTTTTAAAAACTGGAGAATACGCTTCACTTGAACATGCAATTAGAGAAACAGATAATTGGAAATTAAAGACAATAGGTACGTTTATTGGACTCGCGTAGGCGGGTACTAAGCAGTTGGGTTGTCATTCTGTCATTCTGTCCACACAGTTTAATTGATTTGTAAAAAAAATTATCTTTTTGTTTGAGCAGTCTAGAGCTCTATTTCTTCTTCTAGCAACAGATAAAGTTGCTTTCTTTCATCTAGTTATGCTCTTGTAGCATCCCGTGGCACCAAAAGCTGTGAACTGCTAAACCAGGGGACCTCTCTCCAGGTGAGAGCTCGTGTTTCACTTTACAGGGCTGAGATTTGCTTCAGAGATAGAAAATCCCATCTAACGAAAAACAAAAAGAACGATTTTGTCCTAACTTCGTTGTTTGTGAGTTACAGTTGCTCAAAGTTTGTGATTTAGCCTCTTTGAGAATTTTTCAGGCGGCACTGGGGAAAGCAGGAGCAACCAAACTCTCTCAGTCTCTTTTAAATATTTAGAAAAATTTTCTGTGCCAACTCTTTCTTGGAATAGAGCTTCAGATGCTAAAATAAATTTCAGCTTTTCTTCTTTCTCCTACCCATGTGCCATGATTTAGTTAGTTTTTGACCACACCCATAGCTTATTTAATTATCATTATAACTATGCAGTCAATAATAATATTTTTCAAATTGCTTAAAATATCACAGTATAAGTAATACATATCACTCAGGTGAATTCCAGCAGGCGAGTCCATTGCACCATAGTGCTTCATTATTATCGTTAATTATAATTATTATTTTCATTGTATAGTTAATCATTATCCTGTGCCTGTGAGTCAATTTATATCTATCCACTCAGAGAAAGAAAAAGCTGGAACAGATGCTGTAAGAAAAGAAAGAGAATACGAAAAAATAACATGAATTTTTGATAGATTTATATGATCAGCTTGGAGAGAAGGACAGAGAGGAGACAGAGGATGCTGGCTTGTCTTGATGTGCTGCAGTTTGACTATACATTATTCAATGCTGTTGATGGAAAGTAAGCAAATTACTATAAATAATTAAACTATTAATGTGTTTTATTTTAGGAAATTAAATCAGTCTTATTTAGATGAGCTTGGTATACATTTTATGCCAGGCTGGAAGGATCCTTGGGGTGAAAGGTAACAAAAGAACCTTCTTCTCTCCCTCTATCCTCTACCTTTCTTAGACCAATGACATTTGGAGAAGTTGGTTGCTTCTTAAGTCATTATTTCATTTGGTTGAGGATCATTGCTGAAGATATGAGGACTGTACTAATACTTGAGGATGACATTGATTTCCAACCTAACTTTAAATCAAATCTTAAAAGAACATTACAAGAAGTGAACAGTCATGATCCTGACTGGGACCTTGTGTTAGTTAACAGTTTAAATCAATAGTTTATTTGTCACTTTTTAGTTATGTTGGTCGTAAAGAGCTCAGTCCAAATCTTGAGACTGTTATTCCAGGAACAAAGAACCTTGTAATACCTCGGTACTCATATTGGACGTTAGGTTATATAATATCAAATAGAGGAGCTGAGAAACTGATAGCTGGGAGACCTTTTGATAATATACTACCAGTTGATGAGTACATACCAATAATGTATAATGACCATCCTGAGTAAGTATAGTCCATTTTTTTAAAAGTAGCAAAGCTTAATTATGTTGTACATCATCTTCAAATTTTTAAAGCCAGTGGATTCTTCTGAAAATTGTGTCCAAAATCACTCCCAATTTTTATTACATTTTCTGATACACATTGATGTCCTTATGCTGTGTAGGAAGTTTGAGCCAATTTCGGCTTCAATTTTACAAGTTACAGCCATTTTTGGAAAATGACAAAATTCTGAAAAATACCCAAGGCTATAGCCTATGGTTTTTTTAAAAAATGGCTGCAAAATCGCCCCCCCCCCAATTTTTATTACAGTTTCTGATATATTGTTGTCCTTATGCTGTGTAGAAAGTTTGAGCAGATTATGACTAAAATTTTAAAAGCTATTAGCTAAAATATTAAGCAATGTTTTGAAAAAAAGCACAGACTATATAGCCCATGGTTTTCCCAATGGGACATTATGTTCCAATTAAAACTTCCAATGCTTCAAATGAGACACTATTGAGTTACATTAATATGTTATTACAGGAGTGATTGGGTCCATTATTATGAGAACACTACTAGAG